AATTGTTACAACTAAAACAATGATTAGAAGTAAAGCTTTGATGTTACTCATATGAGTTATAGTCAAATTCAAGAAAATAAATAATCAACTGGATCTTTCGTTGAAAAATAATAATTATAATATTTTAATTTAATCAACAGTTCATTTTTGTCAACAATTGCCTTAAAGAACTATTTGCTGCTAGTTTAAATGATGTTTAATGCTGTTTGTATAGCACTGGAGTGGATCGCTTTCATACACACAGCTAGTATCTATTGCTCCCAGTCGGTCCAGGGTAGATTCACTATCTCCAGAGATGACTCCAGCAGTAAAGTGTATCTGCAGATGAACAGTCTGAAGGCCGAGGACACAGCAGTGTATTACTGTGCCAGAAGAGACACAGTGAGAGACAGTAACAGGAGAGTCGTACACAAACTACTTCCTCTATTCAATACCACCACTTGAACATTAAATAGATCCTTAACGACATTTATTGCAATGCTCATATTTTTTTTTAAAAGGCGTCCCTTTTCCACTATTAAAATATCCAATGATATAACATAAGTAATGATGTAGGTACATTAAAAACTCTTCAAGTTCTTTTGATGAAAAAAGGACAACAATTAAACCATCAATAACAAAAACAGAATGAACTGTCATTAGTAAACCACTCAAATAAAAAGATCACATAAGTGTTTTTGTTTTACATATATTTTAAGGACAATAATAGCAATGTAACTCTGTCTATGACACTTATAACACTGATTTGAAAAATATACAGAAAAAATGAATTCACTGCCCTTAATAAAGTATTTAAATATACATTTCAGGTGTGCTGTTTTGTTTTGTAATGGATATTCAATATGTAATAAAGGTTTGACAAGACCTGGTGTAAAAATAATCAAAAAGGACATTAAAAGAGCTCCAGATGTTAATTATCTGTTTTTGTTGATTCTAGACTCTTGAAACACTGAGGTGATTGTGTTCTTGTAATCGTAACAATAACAGGCTCCGTTTTTTTTTAATCTCCAATCCGACTCATATTCATATGCAATGTGTTTGGTTCTATGCAAACTCAGTAATCTCCATTGTGATTCAGTTATAAGGCCTTCACATGAGACTGTCAGTGGAGATTAAAGGGGATCAGGAGCTCACGTCTTCTCAGAGTCATCATCATCATGTTCTCTGTAGCTCTGCTGCTGCTGGCAGCTGGAAGTGAGTCTCTCTCTGCACGAGTCAACACTTATTATACTGCTGTTTAACAGGATAATCTGTCATATAACATTTGTTTTATTTGTACAGGTGTGAAGTGTGAACAGTTGACACAGCCAGCCTCTGTGACTGTGCAGCCAGGTCAACGTCTGACCATCACCTGTCAGGTCTCTTATTCTGTTAGCAGCTAGTACACAGCCTGGATCAGACAGCCTGCAGGGAAAGGACTGGAGTGGATAGGAGTGAGAGTTGGTTCAACTACCTTCTATAAAGATTCACTGAAGAGCAAGTTCAGTATCGACTTAGACTCTTCCAGCAACACAGTGACTCTGAACGGACAGAGCGTGCAGCCTGGAGACTCTGCTGTGTATTACTGTGCCAGAGACACACTGTGACACACACCATCAGTAGAGCTGAACAAAAACCCCTCAGAGCCTGAACACTTGTAACATGAAGCCACCAGAGGAGGAGCCCTCAGACCAGAAATGATCTCAAAACCAGCTCACTGTTACATCATCAGTTTAAACATTTAGAGGTTATAATCACTGATACATTACTGCATGTATTCCCAGAATAAAAAAATGAATAACTTCTTTAAATTGTTAAACATCAGCCTTTTCAATTATCCATAATTATATATTTTCAGTAATTGGATTTTGTGCTCTAAATTTAAGTTTCTTTACAACCAATTTCAGCTCTAATATATTGTTCACACTATTTATTCACAAATACTAAACAGTACTTTTACGAGCCGAAACACAACAACAAATTGTTGGATGTCATTTCTGTTCTTTATTTGACACAAATTGATTAAATATATAAATGTTAAAGACATGAGATGTAGATAAAACCTGTAAAGTGATTTATTTACTAAATTAACTCAAAGCTTTTTTTAATGACAATAATGTGAATACCTTTATTTTAATCAACAGTAAATAAAATCCATTATTTGCTTGTTTCATCTGACAAATCTGAATTAAATAACAATAATAAAATGTTACAAAGTGACTTACAGCCCAATAAGAAATGTTTACCAGTTTATAATTGTAGAGATAATGTTATTAACATAAAATACTGTTAAAAGAGGACAATGTTCAATCAGAAAGGAGGAGTCAATGCAAAACTCAGATATCTCCCCCTCTACTTATGTGACTGCAGAGAGGAGGACAGAGGACAGAGGACACACAGTTTAACATGATGGACTATAGGACAGGACTGCTGCTGCTCACTGTCTGCTGGGCAGGTCAACATCTTTACTGATCTTTATCTAACACAGCTTCTAATTGTGTCAACAACTTATTTCACCAGATGTGTTTTTATCCTCTTGACAGGTGTTGATGGTCAGACTCTGACAGAATCTGATCCAGTGACTAAAAGGCCTGGAGAATCTCACAGATTGACCTGTACTACTTCTGGATTCACATTCAGTAGCTACATAATGAACTGGGTCAGACAGGCTCCTGGGAAAGGACTGGAGTGGATCGCTTTCATACACACAGCTAGTACTCCTATCTATTACTCTCAGTCGGTCCAGGGTAGATTCACTATCTCCAGAGATGACTCCAGCAGTAAAGTGTATCTGCAGATGAACAGTCTGAAGGCCGAGGACACAGCAGTGTATTACTGTGCCAGAAGACACAGTGAGAGACAGTAACAGGAGAGTCGTACACAAACTACTTCCTCTATTTACCACCACCCATGAGAGCATTCACTTTATGTTGAAATACTGAGTAACTGAATATTGACATCCTATTTCGTCTCATTTGACGCAATGTTTAATTCAGTTGCAACCTAAAGAAATATAGTGAATTCTAACAGAAAATATGTATTTTTGTGTATTTTGTGTCTCCAACAAAATGTATCAAAGATAATATAAAATGTCCCATTTCAAACAACGCAGCTCTTTATCTGATTCAGTATGGTTCAACTGTGCCCATGTATCTCTAGAAGTACATTAATGAATGCACGCTTTAGCTACATGTTTAATGTTTCTGATGCTTTCATGGATTTCTGGTGAGTACATACTCCTGCACTCTTCTTTTTCTTAGCTTTATGTTTGGGTCTGTTGTGATCAAACTGCTTTTCTCTCCAGGTGTTTGCAGTCAGACTCTGACTGAGTCTGAAGCGGTGGTAAAGCTCCCTGGACAACACACTCTCACTCCCTAAGGGTCCAGAAGCGACGCTTGGTCAGGGTCCCGTGGCGTCCAGTTGTGACGCGCCGAGGCTCCTTCAGCTTCATAAATGGACGCAAAGAGCTTTCAACTGATTGCAATGTATTCCCATCGGCGTCGGTATTTGATGCTTAGGGAAGCACGGCATTCGTTTGTGTCGGAGGCTGTTAAAGGCAATGTGAGCGTCCATTCCCATTGGATAACGGAGAATTGTACACCCGGAAGTAAGTATTCCCCTTACTGTCGATTGATTTGACAGTGATATCTCCACTACTCATCAACTCAAAAACACCAGGTTATCCTTGTTAATTAAACGACATTGATAGGTTTTAGTGTGTGTACAATGCTTTTGTCACGTTTTCCCCTTCAATTCTGAGAAACAAGTAGTTTTCTATGAGTTTTGGATGGCCGAAGACATTACATTACCCACAATCCTCTGTAGCAACCATAGACTGTATAAAAAAATTGTTTTTACGGTAAAAACCTGGCAGCTTTGTTGCCAGAATAATGATGTAAAAAATACGGTAAACTGTAAACAACTTTACAGAACAACGTGTATATTTTACAGTTTAAAACGGTTGTAACTGTAAAACAAAAAACGTTGTTTTTACGGTAAAAACTTGGCAGCTTTGTTGCCAGAATAATGATGTAAAAAATACGGTAAACTGTAAACAACTTTACAGAACAACGTGTATATTTTACAGTTTAAAACTGTTGTAATTTACATTTTAAATCTGTCATTTCAACAGCCCTTTTCTGCTGAATTAGCATGATCACGTTGCTATTAAACTGATTATTTCAGTAAGATTTACATGCAGTTGCTGTCTATTGTACATTGAATCCCATTCAATTTTACAGAAAAATACCAAACAAATAACACTGTTTAACTGTAAAAGCATCAGTGTAATGCTGTAATTTAACTGAATTTTCCCGCAAATTGTAATCAAAAGTTGTGTATAATTTAGTGTATTTTGCCGTAGTAATGACGAGTTTTACGGTGAAAGCAACATCTAAATACTGCAATTTAAATTTCTGTAAAATGTATTTATTACAATTAAAATGCAGAAAAAACTGTTCTATGAATATCAATCTCAAATATATATATATATATATATATATATATATATATATATATATATATATATATATATATAGTATAAAACCGCCTGTAAGGATTATTGATATATAAAAATGTTTTTCCTATACATTAGTCAGATTGAAAGATTTCATTTAAACTACACTGCCTTCGTATATATATGTTTGACTATTACCAGAAATGTGAAGAATGTAATCCAGGGTACACAGATTAAGCACTTAAAATTTAAAATGCAAAGCTAGATAAACCTCAAGAGCCACTGTATTAAAAGTTGAACAAATTCCAACAAGAACTTGCCTTTCCAAGAATTTATTTTATATATATATATATATATATATATATAATAGCAGTGATCAAAAACATCTGTCATTTCTCAACATACATATTGGTAAAACATACAAACTAAGGCTGCACAATAACAGCTCACATTGTCCAGGAAATTCAAGCTGAACAAAGTTGAGAGGTTACTTGCATCACATCAAATGATTTATGGGAAATAATGTTTTAAAATATTCACCTTCAGTAGCCACTGGATGCACTGGGTCAGACAGGCTCCTGGGAAAGGACTGGAGTGGATCGCTTTAATCTACACTGATGGTAGCACCCAGTTCTACTCTGAGTCAGTGAAAGGCCGGTTCACCATCTCCAGAGACAACACCAGACAGCAGGTGTATCTGCAGATGAGCAGTCTGACGGCTGGAGACTCTGCTGTTTATTACTGTGCTCGAGACACAGTGACTGAAGCTGGTTGAGCAGCTGTACAAAAACCTACAGTCCTCATCCATACAGTACTTTGTTGATAGAGTACAAGGAGAGTTATACGTTGACTAAATCAATCGTTGTTGTAGTTTTTATGAAAATGAAAAAAACAGTTGCTACTGAGCCAAGTTACAAAACACAATAATAATTAAAAAAAAGTCTTTAAAAAAATGATTTCCTCATAAAACAGCCAAGGACAGAAAAAACATCTTCTAAATGTATTTTTTATGTATGGGCAAAAAGAAACATTAAATGTAGAAATGTCAGTCACATTACTCACTCAAGCACCAACAGGTGGCAGTAGAGGATAAAAAGACAGATGACAATAACGGGAATATGACAATGTCTCTAAACGTATACTATGAAAGTCTTGAAGCTTTCCTGCAACAATAATATCCCATTATGAATTTCTTAACAGCAGGTATCAATAATATATTTATGCATGATGTTTCCAGTATGTTGAGGATGGGCAACCAATGTTGTGCAAAGCAGAATAAATGATTACATCTTATTTAGATTTAAATAAAAGGAACTGACAAATAACTTGAAATTCAACCTTATAATTTAAGGATATATATACATTCAGTCATAGTATGCAAAAAGGAAATCTACATCATATTTATTCAGGGGATGTGCTGTGTTTCTGTTTGAGGAGGAGGAGTCAATGCAAACTCTGACCTCTTCCATCTCTACATATGTGTTGCAGAGTGAAGGACAGACACTAAATCACTGACATACACACTGTAGACTGGACAGAGACAACTGGCTTTCACAATGATCAGACCTGATTATCTGGTGGTTTTTCTCATCCTGTCATTTAACTCTGCAGGTAAGAACAAAACCTGTTTTTCTGACAGAGCTCCTGGTACAAAGACAATATGGCTGCATTACAGAAACTAATGAGCTGTTAACATGTCCGTAGGTACTGAGGGTCAAACACTGACTGAGTCTGAACCAGCGGTTAAAAAGCCTGGAGAGTCCCACAGACTGACCTGCACATATTCAGGGTTTAGTGGTAATATTGATACTGCTTGGATCAGACAGGGTGCTGGAAAAGGACTGGAGTGGATCGCTTATATCAGCAGTGGCAGTAGCTACATCTACTACTCTGAGTCAGTGAAAGGCCGGTTCACCATCTCCAGAGACAACAACAGACAGCAGGTGTATCTGCAGATGAGCAGTCTGACGGCTGTAGACTCTGCTGTTTATTACTGTGCTCGAGAGACACAGTGACACAGAAAGGAGAAATGCTGTACAAAAACTCAACAAGTAAAAAAAAGTCAAAACTTTGTGTTCTGCTTCTCAGTCACAAAAAATCTTGAGCTCAACATTATCAAAACACTGAAGGAAATATCGCCTCAATAAAACTGCTTCCATCAGATAGCAGCTACCAAAAGTTACATCAGACAATAGATATACTGTTTGTCTGAGGTTTGATTGGAAATAAAAAGATCATTTTCATTTATTGTTTTAAAAAATAAATGTTATTTCATATGTCCCAACACAAATCCAAAAGACAACTCTTGACAGGACAGTCCGTCCCTCTTTTATAGCCTGTCAGTGTCCCTCTCTATGCAAAGTGAACTTCCTCACAGTCTGCTATAAAGACTTGATATCATGCTGTCAGCTGCAGCAGAAGAAGAGAAGCTCCATCAGGTCACCTTCAACACCAACCATGTTCTCTGTAGCTCTGCTGCTGCTGCTGGCTGCTGGATCCTGTGAGTCTCACTGAGGCAGAGACACTGACAGAACGCTCACACTGACTGCTCACTGTTATTAACCTCGCTCACTATTCAACATGTTTCCCTCCACAGGTGTGAAGTGTGAGCAGTTGATACAGCCAGCCTCTGTGACTGTGCAGCCAGGTCAACGTCTGACCATCACCTGTCAGGTCTCTTATTCTCTTAGCAGCCACTACACAGCCTGGATCAGACAGCCTGCAGGGAAAGGACTGGAGTGGATAGGAATGGCAGCTACTGGAAACCCCACATACTTTAAAGATTCACTGAAGAGCAAGTTCAGTATTGACTTAGACTCTTCCAGCAACACAGTGACTCTGAACGGACAGAGCGTGCAGCCTGGAGACTCTGCTGTGTATTACTGTGCCAGAGACACACTGTGACACACACCATCAGTAGAGCTGTACAAAAACCCCTCAGAGCCTGAACACTTGTAACATGAAGCCACCAGAGGAGGAGCCCTCAGACCAGAAATGATCTCAACACCAGCTCACTGTTACAGTCAAGAGGGAAAGAGTACTAAGATGTCATATACATATTCTTAACTTAATTCAACAGAAAGGGTTTTCACCAATTTAAACAATCTGACATTATAATCACTGATACTGTATATCATTGTAGGTATAACATCTAAAAGGGATAGTAAGACCATAAGTTCGTTTTAAAAGTATCTGATAATATAGTAGATTCCTTTGTATAGTAGAATGGGATCCTCTAAGACAGTTCCTATTAAATAATTATTCAATAACATATGTAAAAGACAACTTTATCAGTGTCATAACTGGATTAGGAGAAGAATTAATGGTTTTTATCCAACTTCATATTTTGATAAAACTATAGAAAAGTTTGTTTTTATAATCTAAATTGTGTTTGCTCAACCTTTTCTATGTGATTCAAAACCACACCTGAACATTTCCTCATCTTTTGGATAATTTACATCAGCTGATTTCCAATCATCAGTATGCAAATGATCTGTGTGTGTGTTGCCTCATAAACCAGCAAAGTGTGTGTGTGTGTCAGAGAGAGGACAGAAGAGCTCACATCAGTTCAGCTTCAACATCAACATGTTCTCTGCAGCTCTGATACTGCTGCTGGCAGCTGGATCCTGTGAGGAGCTTTCAGTGGATTCTCACTAATAAACACATCAGAAACACTGAGTGGTCAGATGAATGATGGAGATAATGTTGCTTTGTGTTTCCACAGGTGTGAACAGTATTGATCTCATCCAGCCAGACTCAATGGTTGTGCAGCCTGGACAGCCTTTGACCATCACCTGTCAGGTCTCTGGTTATTCTCTGACTGATAGCAGCTATGCAACAGGTTGGATCAGACAGTGTGAAGGAAAACCAATGGACTGGATTTCACATATGTGGGGTAGTGGCACCCTTTATCAAAACAATGCTCTGAAGAACAAGTTCAGCTACAGCAGAGACACTTCTGCTGGAACAGTGATTCTAACAGGACAGAGTGTGCAGCCTGCAGACACAGCTGTGTATTACTGTGTACGTCTGCCCACAGTGACACAAACCACCAGCAGACCTGCACAAATACTCAGCAACCATGTGACTCAAACACACAGAGTATAAATGTGAACAATGATACACATCTTAGTATATGATAAGTTCATTAAAAAATGTATTTAAATGTCTGTGTAATATTATTTCACTTCCACTGCAGCCAAGATCAGTATAGAAGAGACTGAGAGAAGCTTCATTTTGCAGAAATGCAAAACACATATGACCAACTGAATTTATACTAAATGTGTTGTGTGCATTGTGGTGCCTGTTAAATATAGAACACATTTTCTGTGTTTCTGTTTAGATCTACTGGAATAGAAAATAACAGTAGCTCTACCACTGAAGAAACAAGATGTCATTGCAGAACATAAACAAACTAATTTCCTCTTTTTTTGTTTTCATGAATCCAGAAATAAGTTGACAGGAAATGTAAGTGAATGTGAAATGTAAATGCAGCCGTCGTAGAGATACTCTGCTTATGGAAATGTTGATGTCACATGTTCCTTTTTGAATCTGTAGAGGGAGGTCGATGCAAACTCTTCCTCTCTTTAAAACACACCATCAGCGACTTGTTGCAGAACACCAGAGAAGTGTTATATGTTTCTGAAACACTCAGATCAGAAAGCACTGACAGTGTCTCTCAAATAATGGAAAGGACAATTATCTGGAGTTTATTATTTTTAGTTACTATTCATGGTGAGAAAATCTATTCTGATTTAGTTCTTTTTTTATTTCTTTGGTGAAATGTTGGATAATGAGCAAAAATGATTTACTTACAGGAGTCTGGAGTGAGATCAAACTGGAGCAGTCCTCCTCTCAGGTGCAAACACCTGGAGGGACAGTGAAGATGTCATGTATCACATCTGGTTTTACAATGACAAGCCATTATATTCACTGGATCAGACAGAGGCCAGGACAAGCTCTGGAGTGAGTTGGGAGGATGAGCACAGGCAACAACTCTCCTATCTATGGCAGCTCCTTTCAAAGCCGCTTCACCATGACTGAAGATGTTCCCAGCAGCACTCAGTACCTCGAGGTCAGCAGCCTGGCAGCAGGAGACTCTGCTGTTTACTTCTGTGCTTGTGACACACAGTGACTAAAGACAGTGGAGCAGCTGCACAAAAACCTCCACTAACCACAAAGCAATGTGATCCATACACTTCTGGGTTTTCTCACACATTGCAATAACACTAGGATGATGTATCCACATTAGATTTCTATGTGTTTCCCATTAATCACCAGATAGTCCCTCATGATATCTCATTATTTTATTTTAAATAACATTTGTCATATTTATAAATACAAGCCACAAATTACATTGAATATGAAAAGAGAAACAAGCTGAAAAACAATATTTGATCAGACAGAGAGCTTGGCTGGGTGACTAGATTATTAGAAAGGTGAAATTTGAGAGGAGAATAAAGCATATTTCCTAAACACTACTATATATTGGGCTCTCGTCTTTCAACCAGAAGGTTGTGGGTTCGATCCCAGCCCGTGCAGTCGACATGCCGATGTATCCTTGGGCAAGATACTTAACCCTGAGTTGCTTCCGATGGCATGGCCAACGGTGTGTGAGTGTGTATGAATGTTAGTTCCTAGAGTAAGGTACACTGCTCTGTATGAATGGGTGAATGACATGAAGTATGTAAAGCGCTTTGAGGTCTCTGGTCGTAAAGACTGGATAAAGCGCTATATAAGTACAGTTACCATTTACTATCAGAACAACATTGTAGATTATTTATATTATAGTAAATGTGCTTCCATTATGCTCAAACTGACATATGAGAAACAGAGCATTGATACCAACATGAATTATGTAATATATATATATATATATCATTTGTTTAGATAAATGTGTCACATGTCGAAGCTAAGATAATCATTTGTGTATTATTAGAATAAATGTGATTATGTAGTTACTGCAATACAATTATTCTACACAACTTAAAACTAGTTAGAGAAAAGTCTTAACAGCTGAGATGGAGGGTTGATATTTTTTACAAACCCTGTGAGGAGGAGTCAATGCAAAACTCAGATATCTCCCCCTCTACTTATGTGACTGCAGAGAGGAGGACAGAGGACAGAGGACACACAGTTTAACATGATGGACTATAGGACAGGACTGCTGCTGCTCACTGTCTGCTGGGCAGGTCAACATCTTTACTGATCTTTATCTAACACAGCTTCTAATTGTGTCAACAGCTTATTTCACCAGATGTGTTTTTATCCTCTTTACAGGTGTTGATGGTCAGACTCTGACAGAATCTGATTCAGTGACTAAAAGGCCTGGAGAATCTCACAGATTGACCTGTACAGCCTCTGGATTCACATTCAGTAGCTACTACATGAACTGGGTCAGACAGGCTCCTGGGAAAGGACTGGAGTGGATCGCTTTTATACACACTCAGAGTTCTCATATCTATTACTCTCAGTCGGTCCAGGGTAGATTCACTATCTCCAGAGATGACTCCAGCAGTAAAGTGTATCTGCAGATGAACAGTCTGAAGGCCGAGGACACAGCAGTGTATTACTGTGCAAGAAGAGACACAGTGAGAGACAGTAATAGAAGAGTCGTACACAAACTACTTCCTCTATTTACCACCACCCATGAGAGCATTCACTTTATATTGAAATACTGAGTAACTGAATATTGACATCCTATTTCATCTCATTTGACGCAATGTTTAATTCAGTTGCAACCTAAAGAACTATAGTGAATTGAGTGAGCTAATGGAAGTGATAACAGCAGAAATGATTAAAGTAAAACATTGGTTTGACACAAACAAATTATCATTAAATATATGCAAAACAAAGATTATGTTATTTGGAAAACATAAAACAAATCCACAGGTGCAATTAATACTAGATAACATAAACATAGAAAGAGTATATGAAATTAAGTTCCTTGGTGTGGTTTTAGACCACAAAATCAGCTGGAAACCTCATATCACTCATGTCAAAGCAAAACTGGCTAAGACTATCGCAATATTGGGAAAAGCCAGACACATTCTGGACTACAACTCATTGTATACTCTATATAACACACTCATATTGCCATATCTGATTTACCGTGTGGAGATTTGGGGAAACACGTACAAAACCAACCTACAGCCGTTATGCACATTACAAAAAAGGGCTATAAGAGTTATCAATAATGTTGGATATCTTGAACACACTAATGTATTATTTTTGAAGTCACACATATTGAAGTTCACTGATCTGGTTAAATTTAAAACGGCACAAATCATGTACAGAGCAAGACATCATCTACTTCCTAGGAAATTAAAAACATTGTTCATAGACCGAGAGGGTGGGTATCATTTGAGAGGAAATCTACATTTTAAACAACTCAAGGTCAGAACAACTCTGAGAAGTATGAGTATAACAATCTGTGGGGTGATTTTATGGAATGGTTTGGAGCAGGAGTTAAAACAAAGCACAAGCATAATTCAGTTTAAAAGGATGTACAGAAACACTTTTTTGGAAAACTATGAGAATGAAGAGAGGTGACTGAAGATGAGAAATTATTGTATATGTATGTATAAATGTAAATGTAAGTAGGAATAACTTGCACAATGACTTAAAGGACAATCATTGATCAAGTAAGGGGTGGGAATTAATAAGCATTTGCTTCCTCCTACTCCCTTTCGGACACATATGATTTTTTTTTCTTTTTTAATTATTATTATTATTAATAATATGAAGACTTTTTTTTGTTGAATATATAAATATTATCGTAAATGTGGATAAATACTGTATTTTAACAATACGGTATTCTGTTTTTTCACATTTGTTATTTTTTAATCTGTTCGAAATAAAGATTGAAATGAAATGAAATGAAATGAATAATTGTGTCAACAGCTTATTTCACCAGATGTGTTTTTATCCTCTTTACAGGTGTTGATGGTCAGACTCTGACAGAATCTGAACCAATGACTAAAAGGCCTGGAGAATCTCACAGATTGACCTGTACAGCCTCTGGATTCACATTCAGTAGCTACGAGATGCACTAGATCAGACAGGCTCCTGGGAAAGGACTGGAGTGGATCGCTTTGTTCGACACTGGTATCACCCCGTACTACTCTGAGTCATTTAAAGGCCGGTTCACCATCTCCAGAGACAACAGCAGACAGCAGGTGTATCTGCAGATGAACAGTCTGAAGGCCGAGGACACAGCAGTGTATTACTGTGCCAGAGACACACAGTGAGAGACAGTAACAGTACCAGTTGAGCAGGTCTCCCTTGAAAAAGAGATCAATGATCTCAATGGGATACAACCTGGATAAATAAAGGTTTGAAATGAAATGAAATGAACAGGAGAGTCGTACAAAAACGACTTCCTCTATTTACCACCACCCATGAGAGCATTCAATTAATATTGAAATACTGAGTAACTGAATATTGACATCCTATTTCGTCTCATTTGACGCAATGTTTAATTCAGTTGCAACCTAAAGAAATATAGTGAATTCAAACAGAAAAATATGTATTTCTGTTTATTTTGTGCCTCCAACAAAATGTATCACAGATAATATAAAATGTTCCATTTCAAACAACGTAGCTGTTTATCTGATTCAGTATGGTTAAGCTGTGCCCATGTATCTCTAGAAGTACATTCATGAAAGCACACTTTGATTACATTACACATTAAAAAAACATCTATTTGATTTGCAGATTGAACACAAATCATCATTATATCATAAACATTATCATCAGGAAAGCTTTATCTGTTTGAATTTGAAACATTACTGTAACATAACCACAACCAAATGAAGCTAATTCTATATTTAACACTGGAGACAAACAACTGATTCAAGTCAGCTAACTGGCAAACTTTAATCCACCGTAAACACATTGGAGAAGTTGATTCAATAAAAAATATATATTAATAATGTTTCCCTTAAAGAAGCAGCTCTGATCATCTAATCTCTAACCCAAATTCAATCAAATACACCTGAGATTAATCGTTAGTTAATTAATTGAGTTTATTGTCGTATTGGATGTAGGCCTAGCTGTCCCTCTGGCAATCAAAATCGTTATACTTTACATGAAGTCAATTGTTTGTCCCTTTAAAAATGGCCTTGCAAAATTATTCTGAAGAAAAAACACACCCAGTCAATGCAAAACTCAGGTATCTCCCCCTCTACTTATGTGACTGCAGAGAGGAGGACAGAGGACAGAGGACACACAGTTTAACATGATGGACTATAGGACAGGACTGCTGCTGCTCACTGTCTGCTGGGCAGGTCAACATCTTTACTGATCTTTATCTAACACAGATTTTAATTGTGTCAACAGCTTATTTCACCAGATGTGTTTTTATCCTCTTGACAGGTGTTGATGGTCAGACTCTGACAGAATCTGAACCAGTGACTAAAAGGCCTGGAGAATCTCACAGATTGACCTGTACAGCCTCTGGATTCACATTCAGTAGCTACGCTATGGCCTGGGTCAGACAGGCTCCTGGAAAAGGACTGGAGTGGATCGCTTATATCTACACTGATGGTAGCGAACAGTTCTACTCTGAGTCATTTAAAGGCCGGTTCACCATCTCCAGAGACAACAACATACAGCAGGTGTATCTGCAGATGAGCAGTCTGACGGCTGTAGACTCTGCTGTTTATTACTGTGCTCGACACACAGTGACTGCAGCTGGTTGAGCAGCTGTACAAAAACCTACTGTATCCATCCTTATCTCGATAGACCCTCAAAATCAGTTATATTCTTCAGTTATTTTTTGCTTTTGTTGTTTTTAATAAAAGTAGGAGGTTCAGACTTGAGAAAGATCATCAATTACCAGCAATGTTTAATTAACACACTGTTGGAACAATATTATCAATGTGTTGATCGCTGGAACACAAAATAGCCAAGAACAAAAAAACAAAAAAGTCTCCTGAAATCAATGTCCAAAAAAGGAATACAATAAACAATACATGAACACATTTCAGCCACATAATGCATATATGTGAGTAAAATCATGTAGCAGCTGCTCTCATAAACGGAACTAGAGTTCCCCTCTCCTCTGTCAGTAAAAGGAAACACTCAGATCTGCTGCTCTCACTGATCTTAACTCACACTCAGACCCTGGACTGAACTACAGGTTTATACTCTCACCCTTTGAGAGGTTGCTTCACTAAAACACACAACAAATATTTTAAGAGCTGGATCAGCAGTCACTGCAGATTCATGAGTTAATTTAGTTCTCCCTCAAACTGATTTCAGTATGTCAGGCATTTCTTCCTGTGTGTCTTGTTTGATAACGAATGGATTCTATATAAAACAGCTAAACAGTTTAGGCAGATTGTTCATTTGATCAGAATTTAAATATTAATTTAAATATTCTTCATATTCAGCACTAAGAGGAGGAGCCAATGCAAATATTCATCTCTTCCATCTTTATTTATCTTACAGCAAACTGAAGAGGAGAGCTCAAACCACTGCAGCACACACAACACATTTCCACTATGACTTTAGCTACATGTTTAATGTTTCTGATGCTTCCATGGATTTCTGGTGAGTACATACTCCTGCACTCTTCTTTTACTTAGCTTTATGTTTGGGTCTGTTGTGATCAAGCTGCTTTTCTCTCCAGGTGTTTGCAGTCAGACTCTGACTGAGTCTGAAGCGGTGGTAAAGCGCCCTGGACAGTCCCACAAACTGACCTGTACATATGCAGGAATATCAGATAGTGATGCTGCTATCAGCTGGATCAGACAAGCTGAAGGAAAAGGACTGGAGTGGATTGCCTACATTTCTGCTCCAAGTGGAACTAATAAATATTATTCCACGTCAGTCCAGAATCGCTTCACCATCTCCAGAGACAACAACGTGGACCAGGTGTATCTGCAGATGAACAGCCTGACGTCTGAAGACTCTGCTGTTTATTATTGTGCTCGACAGACACAGTGATACAGGAAGCCACACAGCTGTACAAAAACCTCTGCAGTTGTCAGTGGCATTAACCAATAGAGAGTGCAAGTCATTTTCCACCTTAAATCAGGATATCTTATATACACAAGATGTGAATACTTCCCCACGCAATGCTTTTGTCACAAGACGTCTTTAGTGTTTAAAAATAAAGTCAGAGTCAAAGGTTACCCCAAAAGGGCGACACTGGTGGAAGTCCCCAGTGAAGCTATGCAAAAACCTTGCAGACTGTTAATGTCCAAATGTGTTTGTCTTCCTCTGTGTTATATGGCTTTTAAATAATGAAACATAAATATGAGGACAATCAAAATCCTATTCCTTTGGAGAATGTGAAGCTAGGGGGTATTTTGTATAATTCCTTACGCTTATAAAACATTTGAGTGATCAATATGACGTAGAGATCCCCACATGTGTTTTCTCAGGCCTCTGCATGTATTATATTGAAAACAAGATATTGAGATATTTATAGAATGACAGAGCCAATGAATTGGTGAACAGAGAGAAGAAGAGGGGACCCAGGACGCACCCTTGAGGGACCTCATTGAGGAGGGTCAGACACACATCCTCTCAAAGTTACCCTGTAGGTTCAGTCTCTGAATAATCTAAGTTTGGTGTCACCAGCCTGCTGAAGATCACACTAATAAACACATCAAGAACACTGAGTGGGCCGATTAATGATTGAGATTATGTTGATTTGTGTTTCCACAGGTATGAACATTATTGATCTGATCCAGTCGGACTCAATGGTTTGAATGAATTATAACAGTCCCTGCAAAAGCCCCTCCCTCCCCATGCTATCCTGATGCAAATCTCCAGTGTGTGCAGAGTACTTCTGTCTGACTGCTCTGTGCTTTGTGTGGAGCATCAGAGGTCACATCTCCAGTCTCAGGATGATCAACTCTCTCTCTCTTCTGCTGGTTGCTCTCTCTCTGCCCTGTGAGCTCTCCTGCTTCTTGATGTTTTATCTTTTATCAGACAACATCCACTGATGGTCAGTCAGTGAGACCAGAACATTTTCAAAATATCTCACTATCTTCTTTGGTTCTCTTTCTCTTCTTTTGTTATCTTATCAGGTTGTACAGGTCAGAGTATGGAGTCTATTCCTCCCTCTTCAGTAGTGAAGAGGCCTGGGGAGACTCTCAGTCTCTCCTGCAGGGGATCTGGCTTCACATTTAGTTGCTGTGTTATGATCTGGGTCCGACAACCTGCTGGAAAACCTCTGGAATTGATAGGGAGCGGCTTCTCTTCGGCTAGTAGCAACAAATATGCCAGCAGTGTGCAAGGACGTGCAGAAATCGGGAGAATTGATAGCAACAGCATGGTGCATCTGAGGCTGTCCAACTTAAAGCCAGAGGACTCTGCTGTGTATTACTGCGCTAGAGACACACAGTGGTTAAAGGAAGCCCAGAGGCTTTACAAAAACCTCTAACTATTTATTATCACTAGTACCAACAGGTGGCAGTAAATGATAAAAAGTCAGTTGACAATAAGGAGAAAAAGACAGCTTTTCTAAACACACTATGAAAGCAACGGCTGATGTGGAATTTCACTTCCCCTTTTTTAGATATACAATTTACTTCAGGCATTATTGCAACAATATTGTCCCATTATTTTTATTGTAAACAGAAAGTATCGAGAATGGATTTATGCATGATATATCCAGAATGTGGGTTAGGGTTTTGCTGAGCAAAATAAATGATTACATCTTATTTAAGTTTAAATAAAAGTTAGTGATAAGTAACTTAAAATGTATCCTTATAATTGTCGTACCACAAATCCAAATGACAACTCTTGACAGGACAGTCCGTCCCTCTTTTATAGCCTGTCAGTGTCCCTCTCTATGCAAAGTGAACTTCCTCACAGTCTGCTATAAAGACTTGATATCATGCTGTCAGCTGCAGCAGAAGAAGAGAAGCTCCATCAGGTCACCTTCAACACCAACCATGTTCTCTGTCGCTCTGCTGCTGCTGCTGGCTGCTGGATCCTGTGAGTCTCACTGAGGCAGAGACACTGACAGAACGCTCACACTGACTGCTCACTGTTATTAACCTCGCTCACTATTCAACATGTTTCCCTCCACAGGTGTGAAGTGTGAGCAGTTGATACAGCCAGCCTCTGTGACTGTGCAGCCAGGTCAACGTCTGACCATCACCTGTCAGGTCTCTTATTCCGTTAGTAGTTACTACACAGCCTGGATCAGACAGCCTGCAGGGAAAGGACTGGAGTGGATAGGAATGAAATACACTGGAGATTCATACTATAAAGATTCACTGAAGAGCAAGTTCAGCATCGACTTAGACTCTTCCAGCAACACAGTGACTCTGAACGGACAGAGCGTGCAGCCTGGAGACTCTGCTGTGTATTACTGTGCCAGACACACACTGTGACACACACCATCAGTAGAGCTGAACAAAAACCCCTCAGAGCCTGAACACTTGTAACATGAAGCCACCAGAGGAGGAGCCCTCAGACCAGAAATGATCTCAACACCAGCTCACTGTTACATCATCAGTTTAAACATTTAGAGGTTATACTCACTGATACATTACTGCATGCATTCCCAGAATAAAAACATGAATAACACTTCTTTAAATTGTTAAACATCAGCCTTTTCAAGTATCCAGTATTATATATTTTCAGTAATTGGATTTTGTCCTCTAAATTTAAGTTTCTTTACAACCAATTTCAGCTCTAAGAATATTGTTCACACTATTTAATCACAAATACTAAACAGTACATCTACGAGCCAAAACACAACAAAAAAATTGTTGGATGTCAGAGTTTCTTTCCAAAAACAAATGCATGCATTTCTGTTCTTTATTTGACACAAAACGTCATCTTTGATCAAAATTATAAATGTTAAAGACATGAGATGTAGATAAAACCTAAATTACTAAATTAACTCAAAGCATTTTTTAATGACAATAATGTTAATACTTTTATTTTAATCAACAGTAAATAAAATCCATTATTTGTTTGTTTCATCTGTCAAATCTGAATTACATAACAATATTAAAATGTCACAAAGTGACTTGCAGCCCAATAAGAAATGTTTACCAATTTAAAATATAAGATATAATGTTTTTAACATAAAATACTGTTAGGGTTAGGGCAGGGCAACATCTTTACTGATCTTTATCTAACACAGCTTCTAATTGGGTCAACAGCTTATTTCACAAGATGTGTTTTTATCCTCTTGACAGGTGTTGATGGTCAGACTCTGACAGAATCTGAACCAGTGACTAAAAGGCCTGGAGAATCTCACAGACTGACCTGTACAGGCTCTGGATTCACATTCAGTAGCCACTGGATGCACTGGGTCAGACAGGCTCCTGGGAAAGGACTGGAGTGGATCGCTTTTATAAACACTGGCAGTTCTTCTACCTATTACTCTCAGTCGGTCCAGGGTAGATTCACTATCTCCAGAGATGACTCCAGCAGTAAAGTGTATCTGCAGATGAACAGTCTGAAGGCCGAGGACACAGCAGTGTATTACTGTGCCAGAAGAGACAGTGAGAGACAGTAACTGGAGAGTCGTACACAAACTACTTCCTCTATTTACCACCACCCATGAGAGCATTCACTTTATATTGAAATACTGATTAACTGAATATTGACATCCTATTTCATCTCATTTGACGCAATGTTTAATTCAGTTGCAACCTAAAGAAATGTAGTGAATTCTAACAGAAAAATATGTAATATTGTTTCTTTTGTGCCTCCAACAAAATGTATCACAGATAATATAAAATGTTCCATTTCAAACAACGCAGCTGTTTATCTGATTCAGTATGGTTCAACTGTGCCCATGTATCTCTAGAAGTACATTAATGAAAGCACACTTTGATTACATTAAACATTAACAAATCTATTAGATTTGCCGATTGAACACAAATCATCATTATATCATAAACATTATCATCAGGAAAGTTTTATCTGTTTGAATTTGAAACATTACTGTAACATAACCACAACCAAATGAAGCAAATTCTATATTTAACACTGGAGACAAACAACTGATTCAAGTCAGCTAACTGGCAAACTTTAATCCACCGTAAACACATTGGAGAAGTTGATTCAATAAAAAATATATATTAACAATGTTTCCCTTAAAGAAGCAGCTGATCATCTAATCTCTAACCCAGATTAAATCAAATACACCTGAGATTAATCGTTAGTTAATTAATTTAGTTTATTGTCGTATTGGATGAAGGCCTAGCTGTCCCTCTGGCAATCAAAATAATTATACTTTACATGAAGTAAATTTGTTGTCCCTTTATAAATGGCCTTGCAAAATTATTTTGAAAAAAACACACACCCATAGTTATAGGAGGAGTCAATGCAAAATTCAGATATCTCCCCCTCTACTTATGTGACTGCAGAGAGGAGGACAGAGGACAGAGGACACACAGTTTAACATGATGGACTATAGGACAGGACTGCTGCTGCTCACTGTCTGCTGGGCAGGTCAACATCTTTATTGATCTGTATCTAACACAGATTTTAATTGTGTCAACAGCTTATTTCACCAGATGTGTTTTTATCCTCTTTGCAGGTGTTGATGGTCAGACTCTGACAGAATCTGATTCAGTGACTAAAAGGCCTGGAGAATCTCACAGATTGACCTGTACAGCCTCTGGATTCACATTAAGTAGCTACTACATGAACTGGGTCAGACAGGCTCCTGGGAAAGGATTGGAGTGGATCGCTTTTATCTACACTGATGGTAGCAACCAGTTCTACTCTGAGTCAGTGAAAGGCCGGTTCACCATCTCCAGAGACAACACCAGACAGCAGGTGTATCTGCAGATGAACAGTCTGACGGCTGTAGACTCTGCTGTTTATTACTGTGCTCGACACACAGTGACTGAAGCTGGTTGAGCAGCTGTACAAAAACCCCTCATTATTACCACAGTTTTCTCACACTGTTAATGTGAGATTTGGAGTCTTTCAAATATCATGACACAACTTTAGTTACACCAAACAATGTAACAAATATTTCTTAACAGATATCTGAATGTAGGAATAATATCACTAAATAGAGTTATCATGTTTATTGGAGAACAGACTCTTATCAAAATGTCTCTTTAGAGAAGACAGCAGCTTAACCATAAAAGCATTTATGTG